TGTGTGGCCTGAGAGATCATGTGTCTTCAGTAGGCACAGCGCTGGTCTTTGACTGACCGTGATTTATTCAGTTACTTGTTTTGAGAACTGAGTGCTTATCAGAACTGTAATTGATGAACACGTTATATATTTTTAATTGATCTCTTAGAAGAATATGTTTCTTATGGTGACCTTTTTTGTTTCTTATTAAATCGGTTAAAATAGTTACAGCTTGCATGTCACGCGACGAACAAATATTGTGCATTGGCTGATGTGTTTATTTCGATTTCTTGAAATCTTGTCAATTATATAAAGTGACATATGGCACATGTAGTATTTATAGAGGGCGATCATGTGGCGGCTTGACGGTAACTGCAAAGTATGCATGTGCCAAATCCCAGAATGTACCTGACAGACCATAAGTAAGGTGAGCTGTTTAGCCCAAATCGTACATCACATAAAATAACGAGGTTTTTTTCCGCACACTCGTGTGTAAATCACGTTATACCACAGAAACACAGCATAAAAGAGCAAACAACTTAACATTTAATCACTACGTGTTTTGTTTTATATTTGTTTATGTGCAATGATTCAGCGACGAAAGCTCCAAACATCCTTCCCTCATCATCGTCTTCATCTTCATCATGAAATGGAGGTCCTTTAGGGTTATTGTGAATCGTGATATTTTAATCCATATGTATGATGATTACTACGTCACAAAAATCAGGTAATTTGCTATTTTGTAACTATAATAAAAATATAATATTTGTTAAACTGCACGAGCTTACCTTTTACTGAAATGTGTTGCTCGGTCAATATCAAACATACCTGTTAAACAAATAGATCTTTAAAGACCAAAACAGAAATATTTGGTGGTGCGTAACAACAGATGTTGTCGTCCAAAGCCAATGTTGTAAACGCCCAGTGTGGAAATAGAACCTTATGCTATAGAATAAACAATCTCGATTTTCGTGTGGGCATTCAGTGATTATGCAATATAAGTTCATTATATTGCAAACATTAGCTTGTTAGTTAATGCATTGAGGTAAAGAGTAACATATGGTGTTGAGATCAATTTTACCACACTCCACTGAAAGATCATTTGTACTCTTATTATCAGTGAATTGACTCCATTGCATTTTTCCCTGAAGATCCGGTTAAAATTTGTCTTCAGCAATCCATGTTTGTCGTAAGAGGCGACTAACGGGATCGGGTGGTCAGGCTCGTTGACTTGGTTGACACATGTCATCGTATCCTAATCGTGTTCACCATGATGTCGTCGTATCCGTGATGTTGTTCGCAGAATTGCCTGGTCCAAACTCGATTAGTTAGAGACCGCTGATATATAGCTGAAATATTGCTGAATGCAGCTTTATTAACAAACAAAAACAAAACAACAAAGCATTGCCTTGAATTGCTATCGGGTTTGAAGGCAACAATGGCTGAAAGAAGTAAAAAGTACAGTCGGAGAATGTAAGGACAAATGAACTGTTAAACGTGTCGGTACTGCCCACTAGACGTTATTGTGCATGGGGTGGGGGGTTTATCATTCATGTCTGTGAAGGATGTATTGATCATTTCATATGAAATCTAATGACAATACAGTTGCGTTATGAAACATTTACTTGTTTTAAGTTGATGATTCACATAAGTATGTGCAAATCAAGATAGACATATCTCCACTCCGAGCGCTGCCCCAGAATATTTAATAGTCAATTCCTAAGTAAATTCAGCGTTATCAATTTAAGTTCTAGGTGTACAAATTGTTTGTTTTAGTAGTACTTTGTCCGGACATTGGAAACTCATAGCCATTCACAATCTGTTCGAACTGTAGTCGCAGTGAAAGATACAATATTAAAGTGTAAACATTCAAATGAATTTCTACAACAAAACGACCCTTGAAGATCCGTAAGAGGCGACTTACGGGGATCGGGTGGTCAGGCTCGCTGACATGCATAGCTGAAGTTGTAGCAACGATGAATCTTTCCAACGTCTTTGAAATGTCCTCTTAAGATGCTTTGATACTGAAACAATATACACTAGTCTTGTAGGTCATGCACGTCAAGAGGTAAAGGTGAAAAAAATGAATGTTTACTTACTACAGTCATCGAGGCCAGGGTGACAGGAAGTGTATCGCTTAGTATTTCAAAATTGTGAGATAAAATTATTTGATGACCAGATCAGAGCTAATCATAGGTAATCTAATATAATTTGTAACTACTTTATAAACTGCGTTCAATCCTCGTCGTATAGCGTGAACGCGTTATGATTCCTAAAATGTTTGAATCGTACACTTTTTATATTACATTAATATTTTGAAAACTTAATACTGTCAAAACAAAATGATATGATATCCATATAATCAATACAGTTGTGCATTTAATGGCTTAACGTATTTGGTTTGCTCGATAATATCAAAGATTAATACGTGATTGGCCACAACGATCTTCATTTCGCCCTTGTGTCAAGCTATCCCAGTAAAATGATCCAAATCACTCTACATTCATTTCAACTTCAACTCCAACACACACCAATTGTACACGAACACACACAGACACACACACACACACACACACACACACACACACACACACACACACACACACACACACACACACACACACACACACACACACACACACACACACACACACACACACACACACTAAGTCTGGTGTAATGTCAAACGTGTCAACCTTGACCAAGGGCGCCAAGAACAGCAGCTCCAGCAACCGTGACCTAGAACATGGGCTTCATCACCTGCAGTATGCCTGTAATGCCCAGAGTATTCAGAGGTTTGACTATGGTACTTTTTCGGCATGGCTTGCATTATGAAACTGGCACCAGTCCAAACATCGCTTTCAATGGCGGTGAGGTAGACTAGTGGGTGAAGGGTTCGGTCGCAACATCGAAGACCCGGGTTCGATTCCCCACATGGGTACAATGAGTGAAGCCCATTTCTGATGTCCCCAGGCGTGATATTGCTGGAATATTGCTAAGTGGCGAAGTATTGTCATTGCATTTGGAACATTCGCACATGCATATCAGTAACTGGTCCGGTCAGCAATGGTATGAAGCTGTTATATGTTTTGTAATGTGAAGTTCAGGTGACATCCAGCTTTCACGTGGACGAGAGGAAACACTCACGGATACCTGGTTTAATACATAGGTGTACACGTGTTGGAAGAGGAAACACTCACGGCTACCTGGTATAATACATAGGTGTACATGTGTTGGAAGAGTAAACACTCACGGCTACCTGGTATAATACATAGGTGTACATGTGTTGGAAGAGGAAACACTCGCGGATAACTGGTATAATACATAGGTGTAAATGTGTTGGAAGAGGAAACACTCACGGATACCTGGTATAATACATAGGTGTAAATGTGTTGGAAGAGGAAACACTCGCGGATAACTGGTATAATACATAGGTGTAAATGTGTTGGAAGAGGAAACACTCGCGGATAACTGGTATAATACATAGGTGTAAATGTGTTGGAAGAGGAAACACTCGCGGATAACTGGTATAATACATAGGTGTAAATGTGTTGGAAGAGGAAACACTCACAAACACCTGGTATTATGCATAGGTGTAAATATGTTGGAAGAGGGCAAACTTACGGATACGTGGTATATATAGTACATAGGTGTACACGTGTTGGAAGAGGAAACACTCACAGATAACTGGTATAATACATAGGGGTACACGTGTTTGAAGAGGAAACACTTATGGATACCTGGTATAATACATAGAGAATACTACACGAGGTCTCACTACATACGAATTATAGGAAACGAGTGTCCTTCCTACGGTATTTGACCGAGCGAAAGCGAGGTCAGAAACCTTAGGAAGGTCACGAGTTTCGTATAATTCGTATGTTATGAGACCGAGTGTGGTATTTTATTTATTACCCATGTCTTACATGCTTTAAATTGACAAAATAGCGTATTTTTGTCATTTTTATGAGTTTCAAACCGAAACCGGTTTCATAAAGAGGTTGCGGAAGAATGTTGTTCTGTAGTACACTTTTGCATGACGTCCCACTGTAATGACGTCACTACGCCTTGCTCGACTGTCCCCTTGGTAACCGACGTCACGATGAATGTCAGTTGTCATCGCCTCGTACAGCCTCCTACATTAAACTACTCCGTAGCACCCCGTCTCTTAGTTTGCAGTTGCTTCACTCGGCTAACATCACTGGTGGAAACTTTGCGTTTATGTTTTTCGACGCATGTAATGCCTCAGTTCGAGTCACAATTAAACAGCGTCACAATGCATACAAGTTTTAGAATGAATGAATTCACGTGTTTGTTATGAATGAAAAAGTAATTCCGTCACAACGTGACCTAATTGAGAGGTCATCGGTTATCCAATCAAATCGTTAGAACCTCAGGTCAAGTCGTTACGACACAGGTCAACGCGACACGACACTCGGGTGACGTACGGATTAGTATGCACCTACCCATACGTTGACCTCGTGGGTAACAAATAGGTGTACACGTGTTCGAAGAGGAAACACTCACGGATACCTGGTATAGTACATAGGTGTACACACGTTCGAAGAGGAAACACTTACGGATACCTTGTATAGTACATAGGTGTACACGTGCTCGAAGAGGAAACCCTTACGGATACCTGGCATAATACATTAGTGTACACGTGCTCGAAGAGGAAACACTTACGTATACCTGGTATAATACATAGATGAATACATGTTCGAAGGGGACACTCTCACAGATACCTGGTATGAAAAAAGCTGAGAGTGGTTCATAAAAGCACAGATAATCTTTTTATAGACTGTTATTAGTCGAGATTCCTTTTGACTTTTGAAAGGTGTTTTAGGCCTTTGTTTACAATATTAATTCATTTGAGGTCATCAAATGGCATCTCCAAAGACGTACTCGTGTGCTCCAATATACAACAAGCGTAACCAGCAATGTTGAATATTACTTATGGAATCAGGCTTGGAACCATGTCACGCTTTCAGTGATTTTAAAAACAAGAAAAAATAGAGTCGTTCATGCAATGAAATTTATTTCTTTGCAGCCAAACAAATCATGCACATAGTCAAAGGAGAGGCATTCACTATTTTAGTTTATCAATGTCAGAAACTGAGATGAGTATCGCCCACTTGATTTCTTTCCCGTTTAAGGATCCGTTGGTGAGCATTTTATGGTGACACTACCGAGACAATTCGAGGGTTGCCATATGGTGCACGATCCGTCTTGCGATGAGATGCCTCTGTTGAGCTACGGCGCGGAGGGACTTTCGGTCACTTAAATATAGAAATATGTCATTAAAGCTTTCGAATGCTTCACAACCAAAAGCAACAGCTGAATACATATATATTCTTGAGGCATCTTAAACAGAACCTAAACCTGCAAATACTGTTGGCCTTTTCTCTTGGAGTTGCCATGCTAATGACATGTAACCGTCGACGTTCATGGGACCTAAGTACATCCTTTGATATATACGCATAACTATGACTAAATATTGAATAAACATGAACCAACCTCATATGTCGAGACAAGTCTATGTTCGACATAACGGTGTTTGATCGTACAGGACTTTTTGAACGGGAAAACATCTCTATGAACATATCTGTCATACCCTCTTTCAAACGTGAAACAAAATTCGTGGACGTTTACATTGGTAAACGACAGTGTATATTGCGAACTCACAAGGATATTTACGGTGAATGTACATTTGGCGGTGTTCATTTCCTCATCTGTTGCCTCCAAGGTCACCACAGTAACTCCTCTGTGAAATACACTCCCTGATGGGGGGCTTCCCAAGACGCTGACGTTGGACTCGCCGCTAATGGACGGACTTTCCCAAGAGACTTCCTTCGCCTCTTGCCCATTCTTGAGAACGTATGCTATGTCATCGGGACATTCGATTGTGAATTTTGGTGCAGCTGGTTCTACAATATAGACATGAATCATATTTTGGGGCAACATACTGAAATACCCTACCCTTATTTTGGAAGCATCTTTGACAAGGTCATTATATTTCATAGTGGTTTGTTAAATCGGACTGCCTTATAATGTGACATTAGTAGCTTAAATCTTTGTTTATATTCAAATGTCAGTTTGAAATTTCGATATCTGTCTCGTTTCTTACAAACCGAAACTTAAACCAATTCAATCAATAACCTACTTTTCAGCCGATCGAAATTTTCTCGTGTGAAGTGAAAAGAGACACTACAAGCAACTATGGTTACACTAAATTCCAATTTCTCGTTACATAAGAAAACAGTATTTTACAAATTAATGTTGATTTTAAAGTTTAAAAAAACCGTATTTCTATATTTTATGTCGAGGTTTAGAGAGCATGTTGTTAACAAAGACGTCACAGACTGCCCCTGTTTGAGAAGGTCGTACAATGATTCACAATTCATCTGGCTCATTGGTTATACCTGTATTGTGTTTTTTGCGCTTATTATAAGTGTATTTGTGTAATGTACAATGTGATTGATGTCATATCAAGTCCGTACCAGATCGCCAAACTTTTCTAGCTGCCATGCCATGCCTGGAATTGAGATTCCCACGATTTCCAGAGAGCGCGCTGTACCGACAGAGCACGCTCCACCACGTGTTTGCAAGGATTAGAAGGAGCGTAGTGTTACAATATACACGTGATTAGATGTACCAAATAATACTGATTAATACTTATATATCCAGTTCTGGACTGATTATTGCATTAGACTGCAGAGTAGGGCGGAACTGAGTCAGCAGGAAATGAGACTGCTGTGTAATCAATGTTTTGACTTGAAACACATTTTCGTAATTATGTTGATCTCTCTCTCTCTCTCTCTCGATACGGATATTAAATGGCTCACACGAAGGTGCACAGCTATATATAAAACGAATTTATTGATGGTTTTATTATCTACTAGATAGTAATTAAGAATATACTACGGTCTACGAACATTTTCTATGTGGTATAAATGTTAGTGAACATGAAACGTTGTCTTGAGTCGATGCAAATAAAATGGACAAAACTCTTTCCACATTCATACAGCACACATGTCAAACCTACTCTTGATCCAAAACCCCCTACGACAAACGTGGAGTTCCGGCGAGTTCCCTGGCCTGCACTCTGTTCCCTCGAGTGCTAAGTAAACCGGATCACCTTCAAGTAAAGGGACAAGTCTGACATTCCCCTGGCACCGCTTATCCGCTTCGGACGTGTCAACCACCAGTATCTGACAGCCTTTGGTACACTGAAATATGGACAAAGAAGAGATTGTACAAACTGACTTCTGTCCATTATATGGTAGACGAGCGGAGGACATTTTGTGACAAAATTTGATACATCACTTACAGAAAGTCGCGTCCTATGCAGTTCCCAATATCTATTTGTACCATCTGTTCTCATGTTTTTAATGGGAACAATTGCAATTGCCAGTTATATACGATACCAGTTATATACGATACCAGTTATATACGATACAACAGACGAAATACCACATAGATAATATCGAAGCAATAACACAAATAGGGACAAATCTGAACTCACTATATAAAAACTTTGAATACATGACTGATATTATATATAATGTTTATATATAGCTGGCTAGCCTAGTGGTTAAAGCGTTGGCTCGTCACGCCGAAGACCTGGATTCTGTTCCCACATGGGTACAACGTGTGAAGCGCAATTCTGGTTTCCCGTGCAGTGATATTGCTGGAATATTGCTGAAAACGGCATAAAACCATACTCACTGACTATATACATATAAATATATTTATTTAGATACCTGAAAGAAAGTTTATTTTCAGTTTGTAAGCCATCGGCCTAAGTGCAAAAGGCAACACAAATGATAATACAGTGGATAATGGCAATAGGCAGACATTTGAGTTGTCAATCTACAGAAGATCGACATTTAAGAGCTGATCTGATAAATCTTACACATCTTACAAATTACATCAAAGTTCATAGTTTCCTTCCATCTAATATATCATTGTAATGGTAATGCATTAATGAATATTAACAAACATTATATAATCTTAAGTCTCTAACATTAAGTATTAAAATTGTGATTATCAAGGGGCAATGATGATATAATACTTTTAAAATGTACAAGACTGGATGAATTCATGATATTGCTACTTATAATTTGTTTTGAACAATTAATTAACCTCTGCTTAAATAATGATACAAATGATGCCACGTTTCAAATGTCTTGGGAAAGCCAAACATAACCAAATCCATACTCATTTAACAGCTTAGTCATACGTATTTTTGAAACCCAAGCAATCCTACCAACAGAAGTCTATAATTATAACTTTGTTAAGGATAACGATCATTAGACATTCTTAATAGTTTACACAAAATGTAAATGTAGTTTAAGATGATAATCTGCGTTCATACTAAATCGTCCACATTCAGCTAAAGCTGCATTACTTGATATGTGTTTTCCAACCCCTAAAACAAATTTACAAAAATTATAATGAAATTTATCAACAACACTACTTTCGTGAACTCCTCACACCTTTGACCCCTGCAGCGATAGTGGTCTTATTTTACAATAAAAAGTTTAAATAACACATGAACAGGAATATTTGTAAGATTATGATGTAATTGTTTTATAACTAATAAAGCTTTTCTGACATTTGCCACACGCGTCTTAGTACAAACACTCCAAGACCACCAAGTAGAAAACATGATACCAAGATAATTATAATATGTTTCTGTTTAGTTGTATGCCATCGAAAACAAAATTTTCCATGATTACGAAGGTAACCCCCCATTTCGAAATGCTAAAATCTATGTCCTATCCATATTAACTTGTATCCCTCAAGACTTACAAAACTTACACAACATGTCGATTGTTCGTTGCAGCCCAACCACACTATCATAAAAATACATAAATCATCAGCATACAATAATAATAACAACTCAAAATATTCTTCACTGATAAATATACCTTTAAATCAGAATCATCCATCATAGATTGAAAGTCTGAGATAAACATTGAAAATATAAATGGACTAAGGACACATCATTGTCTTACTCCACTAAAGCAATCAAATACGCTGCTATCAAAGTGCCAGATATTCTAACAGAAGCGTTTATTTCAGAATACATATTTTGTAAAACCAACACCGATTTTCCATGAACGCCTTTTTTCATAACTGGAAACCATATCAAATTTGTATTAACCGAATCGAAAGCCCTTTTTTTAAATGCTCATAAACCAGAAAAATCATTCCCCAATTTTAGACAAATAATTTTGCTTTACCCAACTTAAGACTTTTTTAGGCTGCTTCAATCTCTCCTTGTGTAATATCAGAATTTATTAAGATATTGACATCGTCATCAGTACAACTATCACAAAGATCCTCGTTATGATTTTTGAAGAAAACCAACCTTCTACAAGCTCAATTGTATCACTGTTTACATAAATCGGTGAAATCGAAGACCTTCTGTAAATAATCGAACCAATTTCTATTACTCATCTTTGCAACCGAACACTCAACATTCATCTTATTAGTTATATTACGAATGTTTCTCCAAAATTGCTTACTATCCCTAGTACTATCAACCAGCTTGTGAAAACAAGACTCATCATACGCTTCTCGCTTCCTCTGACATAACGATCTATAACTATTTCTCAGTTTACAATACTCCGGTAGAACAGCCTAGTTCCCAGTCAATCTGAGCTTATCCAGTACACCAAACTTATTAACCTTCACTCTGTACACTCCTGTTCAAACTTCGTATCCACTGATCCACCACTAGACCTATTATCAAGAGACAATAGACCACACGAGACAGAACCACCCTCCATTCCAGTGAGCACTTCCACAGCAGAGTCAACACTTTTCTACAATATACAGTTCTACTGGTTCTAGATGATTTTGAAAGGGGTGTGACTAATCAATGAAAAAGAGATAGCTGGTAGACATGAAATTCCTCTGTCTACAGTATACAGAACTTTGAAGAATATTCAGTCAGGAGATGGGATTGAGCACAACACAGGGAGGCCAATGAAGTTCAGTACTACGTATCGCTGGCGACTTCGTCAGGTTGAGATGATTACAGAGGAAGTCCTCGGGTATGTAATAAAACCCTTAGACAAGAATTACAAAGACTCACCTGGGTAAAAAAGTGCGGATTTCCCTCACCATTGATGAATATGCACAATAGAAAAACGATTAAACTGGTGTAGGGCTCACGAAAATCAAGATTGGATAATGTTTTCTTTTCTGATGAAAGTTCTGTCTGTCTTTTTCCGAACTGTGTGAACATTTGGACAAAAGATACCGTGAAACCTATCTACCAAAACCCGAAACATAGCCCGAAATTTCACATGTAGGGTGGGATATCATCACGTGGATTAAGGCCGTTGTGTATTTTCAATCGAAATTTGACGAAGGAACAATATGTTGACATCTTAATTAATCATAATAATAATAATTATAATGTTGTCAGTGGATGCCCTTCTTTGGCACCAACAGCATATCTGGAACGACATGATGGCATGGGTCGCTGCTTCTACTACCGTCTCCGCCAAGCCTGTGGCTTTGACTCTGAGTTCCATCCATGGTACAACCCTGAACATGTCCAGGGCATCATGGAAAATGCTGCTTTCAAACTTTTGTGGAATAGGCCCATATACAGCCTTAGAAGAACTCCTGCCAACATACTTGATCTTGTCCTTTTTGATAAAGCCAATGAATTAATTTATATCATTGAATTTTCTGTCCCTTTTAACAGAAAAAGCATGCTAATTATGCGGACCTCGCCTTTGAAATGTCTCGCTTGCACCCCAAGTACACTGTCGTCAGGCTCCCCATTGTTCTCGGTGCTCTTGGTTTGGTGACTACTGATCTCTTGGCGCAGTTCAGGAGAGTGCCCGGGTTTTTCACCGGGAGCACAGCCCTTCTGACACTCTGGGTAACGCAAAAGGCTGAAGTGTTGTGGAGTCTACATATTCTCCGGAAAGTTCTTGGTGGGTTCGACAAGTCAGTGTTTCCTGGGAGAAGTCCCATTCGCTGTCTGGGCTGCAAGTAGAGGGGGCAAGGGCCCAGAGCTGATGGTGAGCCTTACCAGCCTGACTGTGCCAGTATCACGCGAACCCTCTCTGATGCATTTTTCACCTAATCTGTAAAACATAATAGTATTGATTTGTTTCCAACAGCCCGAACAATGTATGAAGATAATTCAACTTTCCAGCATGATAACCACACAAAACACACTGGGGGCTACACAAAACAGCGGTTGCCGGACAAAATGTTCAAGTGTTAGACTGGCCCAGCTACACCCCAGATCTTAACTCTATTGAAAATGTGTGGGGACTAATGAAGGACAGAATAAACCAAAATGGACTTAGAAATATTGAGGATATGAAGAAAGAAGCGGTCCAATATTGGGATACGCTGTCACATTATTTCCTACAAACTTTGATCGGTAGTGTACTAGGCGCATTCAGCCGTGTATTGCGGGGCAAGTAAGTCTCACAATGTACTGAAACGACATTTAGACTGTAAGAGAATCATATCTCAACATAATCATTTAAGTATAATTTCGTGCTTTCAAGTTTACACAGATTCCCGAACGTTGGTTGGTTGAGAGAGCGGTCATGTGATCTAAATTTCAAGGTTCATTACTCTTGAACCCCTCTAATCGTTCATACTTGTGTAAACACCGTTCATACGTGTGTGAACGTTTTTCGCTTCGGTTTCAAGGACCCCCAATAATTGGTGATACCAATTTCGCGAACGAACCTGTTTCAAGTCACCCCAAGTTTGGCAATGTCACTACCAAACGGATTGCCGAACATTGTTCCTTTTCACAGGAGTTTAATGTCTCGCAGTTTGAGGGTTCATCCGGCGGTTTTCTGCCCCGAGGTCTGTTTAACAACTGCTCAATAAATTTCACAATAAACAATCACAAATAAATAGAATACAACAAGATCTGTTTCCTATTCGCCACGCCGCACAACTTCGAAGTCGGTCAGTGTATTATTACGCGGTCAAACAAGGTATTTACAAGTGAAAAGGTACAATGCCAGTTTGTTAAAATGGTATTGTTATTGCTTCTGATATTTGTTTCTGTTTGATACTGTTATTGATTATACTTATTAAAGCAGTTTCAAACCTCATAACGAATTTGTTGTTATATTTTAAAGATCGAATACTTTGAGAACTATTTCTTCAAGGGTTGGGATACATGTGTAAAAGAAAAATCGCTGTGTATACAAACATCGCTGCAATACGTACGTTCTTGAACCGAATGGCATTACAACATTTTACAGGTATTAAAACACACTAAACAATGATCATCTACAAATGGGTGGAAAACGTATGTGCATACTTCAAATTGCGAAATTATAAGAATTGAATGTCAGTTTGTGTGTTTGCACTGAAAAATGAACGATGTCAAAGCGTTGTTCAAACTCGCGCGTGAACTCGCTCGTAAACTCGCTCGTTCACACGAGTTTGAACACCGCTTTGACATAGTTCATTTTTTCAGTGCAAACACACAAACTGACATTCAATTCTTAAAAAAACTTCTATAGTTTATATACATCCATTAGATAGATGCCGAAACAACTTTCTAATTTCTGGGGATACTATACAAGTTAACTTATCAACATCAAGGGGTGTAAGAGACTGAGCAACATTACCCATATAATCGTCACTTATTTCCTTTCTTCAGACAAACCTAGGAATATCATAATGATACCTTTCCACGACTAACATTAATTGTAGTTATGATAGGAAAATGGTCTGATTCAGATCGGGTATCGACTTTAAAGTTTGTAATACGATGGAAAACGTTAATGTAACACAGCACAAAGTCAACAAGGCTTGCGCCTTTTTCCATAAAACATGTATATGCTCCAAGTTCGTCACCTGTGAATCGTCCAATACTGCAAATGTACAACACAAATCATTTTAGTCTCTCCCATAGTCATTACTCACGTCATCTCTGGGACTGGGAGTAGTGCTAACTGAATTTTCGTCATCGTCCATATCCTCAGAGCTTGATACCTGAATTACATCCGATTTAGATGGGGCACTTGCTGCGATTCCCAAAATTGGAATGAGGACTATTGCCACGAGGAAGTTCATTTTGCATTCACAGATACTGGAAAGAAATATGTAACTGGGGTATTTGAGCACATTTAACACATACCGATATCCTATATAATATACAGTATATTTCTTTCATTTGAAGAAGGGTCAAATTATGCTCACTTTCTTCTTGGCACCAGGACACTTATACACCAGAGGCAAATTCATACCTTCAACTAACTCAGAATATTATATATTTGTTCAGTTTTGTTTAATACTTTGTGGAAATAATTCTAACAAATTCTATCAACCAGTTATTACTCTGAAAAGGTAACTCAGTAAAAAGTAAAAGCAGGTAAATGAAACCAACTCACATGTTCCGTGCACCTGTGCGGGAATGCTAGGACTGACTTTGGAACAACGGGACTGCAAAGTTATACTTGCGCATGACAGATCACGTGTTCATGTCATACATAGAGTATAGATCCACAGTTTGACAATAGTCACGTGTACCCAATCACTTCCAATAAAGAAAAGAGCGAACGAGGCACTATTTTTCGCAAAGATCAATTATTCAACACTGCGTTTGAGAGACCATGTGAATAAGGTCTAAAAGATATACTAGTAGATAATGAATATCAGACACATTAGTGGACGGAGACTCTGTCAAAAAGCAGAATCCTTAAAGGTCGGGGTTCAAACCTTTACACAAACGGGATGTGGCCACGTTGCCGTGTCAAAGTTGTCTTTCGATACAAAGCAGACAGTATTCAAGTACATTCCATGAAATTTCACAGCATTGCGTTACCGGTTCATGATGATATTAAGCTATAGTAGAAAGAAGGACGTTATGAAGACTCACTGTAAAGAGTATTGATGCAGACTCAAAACATACACAATGAAAATATATTCCAGATTTGAATTTCCCCCTGTATCAGTCAGGTGGCCAGAGAAGGTGCATTTCCATTGCAACAAGTCTGCTAGCAAAGGCAGGCATACAGTGAAAATGACCCACTCTTCTTAACAACTGGTCAGGGTTTTCCACTAATTGGGTACTGACATCAACATGCTGAACATTTTTACGGTAAACAGTTCTTTGTATTGAAACTTTTTATTGTATTGAAATTAAAGGATTGTAGTAATGTTATACCACTTTGTACCTCTAACCCCCAAACTCTTAAATGCATTGAAGTATCTGACTGAAGTTTGTTTGAGTGAATGTATTAGAAACAGGTTTCAGAGAATATTAATATTTATTGATAAGTAGAATTTGATAAGTAGAATTTCATATACTGCTTATTAAATGAGTCTGTCTGTTGTCTTCAAAATATGTAGAGAAAAGGGGCATTTACTATATATGTTTATTCTAATAGTAAATTCCAAGCTAACATTTGACAAAGCCAGGCTCTCGTCAAGCACCATAATACATACAAATCCTTATTTACAGATGGGTCCAAGGATGGTGGTGCGGTGGCATGCGCCACTGTCATTGGATCCAGAACAATATCTTCTAGAAAACCGGATAACAGCTCTATTTTTACAGCAGAAGCAAACGCCATATTAACGGCTCTTAAATATATTCAAAGACACAATAAACATAAACAATACATAATCTTTTCAGATACTTTCGTGCCCTCAGGCTATTAAAAATCTTTCTTGTAAACATCCAGTTTTATTAGAAATTATTGAATTGTATAATGAGCTTGCTACTGGCCAATGCGACATCGTCTTTTGTTGGTTACCCAGCCACGTTGGCATTTCTGGGAACACAATGGCTGATCTTGCTGCTAAGGCAGCACTCAACAAATCTGTGCCACCACTTCTGACCCCATACTCTGATTGCAAAGCTAGCATTAGAACTTACATCCGTGATCTGATGCAGACGAAGTGGAACACCCAAGTAGGTATCAATAAATTACATGAAATAAAACCCTATATCGGTTACACTTACTTGGGTTGTCAGTCCAGATTTGAAAAGGTCATCATACGACGATGTCGTATTGGCCACACAAGATATACGCATGAGTACCTATTAAAAGGTGAGGATCCTCCGTTTTGTGTCCCTTGTGATGAACAAATCACGGTCAAGTATGTCTTGCTTGACTGTGTTGAGTACTCCATCACAAGGGATATCTATTTCAAATCCCGAACTATGAAGGGTCTTTTACTAATATAAGTCCTCATTTAATTATTGCTTTTTTAAAAGAATTAAATTTGTTAACAGATTTGTAAATAGCTACATATTTTATGATTGGAAGTTTGAATTAGTAAGACAGATTGTTAGTGGTTGTATCCTCGAGGGGGGTTAAAGTACTGTAAAAGGGTAGGGTACGTAAGTCCCAAAACATTCAAAGTAAATTTCAACTTTCCGTTTTTAATCGTAGAATATGTGTAATTTTAATGTATGGCTAGATATATCTCAATTGCTAACAGCTGAGGGGATGATGTAAATCCAGCTAGGGCCCATGCAGGAAGCAAATGTACTGTAAGTCCCCATGGTCCCTAGTGTGGTGATCTACCTTCAGTTGTTGGCAATCTATAGCCTGTTTTTATATTGTATTGTCATTTATAGTTCCAATATTTTAGATTTAATTGCTAGTTTTAAATGGATATCTGTGATACACTAGTAGTTTTACTGTTCTTCGTCAACAGGTTTTTTAATGTCCTACTTTATTGATCTATAATATAATTATAAACTGTTCTCGTCACGATATGGTTGAAATATTGCCGATGTTACGATAAATATTAACTCACTCACTCACTCACTCGCCAGGCACCCACAGCAGTTCCATTCCTGTCACTTATTAGCAGATAACATCTACACTGCTGAGGAGTAATTGGAAACTCATGGGATTTGTAAATTTTGAGCTCTGGCATTTAAGGTAAGACCATGGAAACTTGTACAGCATGGCAATCAGGAAAATCTGTACAACAGAGCAGCTGTGCAATACTGCAGCACATATCAACACGCGATATAGATTTTACCAACATACATTGAAGCTGTGCACCCAATAACACAGAACTCTCATATACAGAATACGTGAAAGCACACTATGTAACTATGAGTTGTTTAAAGTCTTAAGTGGTTGTTATTAAGAAATATAAACGACATTAAGGAATGGCATGAGTCATTCATTATATACAGTGTAACTACTGAACAAGAAATCACGAAAGCTGATACTGGACAAAGTATTGGTATTTTTATGATTGATATTTTGTTAGTGTGTCAATGAATAAATAGATCATCATTCATAGCTTCAAAATGTACAGGGGGCGGTGGGGTTAAAGCATTGGCTCGTTACGCCGAAGACCCGGGTTCGAATCCCCATATGGGTACAATGTTTGAAGCCCATTTCTGGTGTCCCCCGCCGTGATGTTGCTGGAATATTTCTAAAAGCGGCGTAAAACCAAACTCAGTCAGTCAGTCAAAATGTACATATATCCCTAACTATTTTTGTCCAGTATATATTGTTCATTATAATGGTAGTTTACAGAAATAAATGGAAGGTAATATGAAAATACAAACTACATGTTGGCAGCAAGTGGTTGTTACTGTGACAGTGCTATCAGAATGTTTGCAGTTGGTGAAATTGTCATTTTCTAAATACATGCTCAAAGGTGATTGAGTAAGCATTGGTGATAGAAATAATACTTTAAGAACTGGAAATTTCTTTCCTATAAGAAAGTAAGAGATGTTTCTGAGGAATATGTTCATAATAGTGAATTACAAAATATCAATGGCTGAAATAACAGGAGCAATAAAACAAAATCACGAAGCCCCATGGAACATAATGTTATTACATGCAACATTTTGTTTGACAAGTTAAAGGCACTATTTCACACCACAATTCTCTAAAAATATACATAATGCATTTCTCTCTGTAATACTATCAGCCCTCACAGAAGCTGCCATATGATTTATTTTAGAAAATCACGTATTTAGATGACAATATACAATTAAACAGTTCGAATGAATTATGCAACGTTGCATTAAATCGACCCTCGCGCCATCTACCGTCTGAACATTATTTCAAGCGAACCTCATAGAGTTAAGTCCCTTGGAGCGCTCTTTACGAATATCCTATAACTCCTTTGGAGGCAGAACTGAGTCCTTGACAAAACATACTTGTGTAACTTGTGATCGAAGCCATTTTTGCAAACGCCGACAACACGGCGTGCAACAGTTTTTCATGTTCGGAGCAATTGTTTACATTCCAAGTGTTTTCTGTTTGGAAGCTGTTCGTCTCGAAGTTTCAATTATCGATTTCAGGCAAGTTGTAAGGGATATTGCATCAATAGGGGGCTAAAATGAGTGTATATGCCCCAATATATGTAATATGGGCCAAAATATTGTCGAAAATGTGTGACATTGTGTCTTTAAACACATCCGAAAGTACTACGGCATATAGAGGTTCGATTTTATCATTCTGGTTTGTTACACATACAGCAAGGTTTCGATGGAGACCTTCAGTCTGTTCTAGCTGGCGTGCCGGGGTAATTGATGGTGCATAAGCTCCTCTCACTGATCTATCATCTCTACACGCATTGTCATTGAATAATACCTGCGATGCTGAGAGTTTCAATATATATATATTGTTAAACAGATCGTGAGTGTTACGGCGAGTGTATAGCAATCGCTAGTTTGTGCAGGCACGTATTTAATTTAAATTGACTGAAAATGACGAGAAAGAGACGTGCTAGGGATCTAAGGTTGACAGGACGGGAGTTGAAGCTATTCACAGCTTGAATGAGATACGACACACACTATTGCAAAGGTCAATTCACGATAAGGCTTATATGCCAGCTAATAGAGATCAAAGCCCAATACTTTATTTTTTTTATACACATCAGGGACACAATAAATTTAGCGAAAGTGGGTATGTCATACAATTACATTACGAAACATAGGTTCATTAAAGAAGTCACATAAGTCGAAAGATGTGACTGGCAATTGGTGGAAACATGCAGATAAAGTCACCCCCACTCTACACACACGTTTCAAACAAACCAAAATAGCGCTACCCAATCGTCAAACGTAAACCTCTATTTCCCCGTCTTCAGTGTGGGGAAGAATTGCACCGGTCTTCAAAGAAATACATTGGGTACCAATGGGATAGGGAATCATGTTCAAGCTACTGATACATATTACAATACATGGGACGATCACAATCTGGTGTCAGGCCAAGATTTCTGGCGTACTTGGTTGCTGTTGTCGCTTGTGAAGAAACTAACATTTCTGAACATCCATTACGTCATGTTGTATCAATATGTTGACATATGAGAGACATGTACATTTTTTGACAAGAATGCTTTCTTTCCTGTACACCTGTTACTGCAGTCTTGATAATTTTGTCAGGCTAATCCATATTAACTATTGTCTTGAGAATTTTACTATGCTAAGTTTTTGTACCAACATAAATACATTAAATTGCCTTGTACGTATAAAGAAAGTAACCAGTAAATCT